GACACGCACACACAGCCACACGTGTGCAGGCCACCCATCCGACCCATGTTAACGAGCCATCTTTAATTGCTTCTGAAGACCTCTTGACAAATAAACATTTATTATTTATTAGAAGTGCTATAACTTTTCAGGCCGGCCTCAAATTCATCATAAGATAAAAACTCGGCTCCAGCACAAAACGCCATTTTGCCCGAAGTAATCCCGGTCTCTACCCAGCCTGAGACGAGTCACGAGTGAGGCAGGACAGGAAGCCGGAGTCACGAGTTGCAGGAAGTCGGAAGTGATGTCATGCTAGACAAGAATCAGAGTTCGAAAAACATTTTTTCATATTCAGACTCGAGTCCGAATAGTCACTTCGTAAATTTAAAGTTCGTTCATAACCATTATGATATGACACAGTTTCGTTCATAACTATTATGACAAATTTTACTTTGGGCCCCTAAAATTTACTTATTGTTCCATCTTTCACATAAAATGGTTTTCATTTATGAGACTTTCCTTAAAGGCTTCCGTTCCTTAAAATGATAGATTTACTCTATGTAGATCTAGGGGGAATTCAAAGTTTATTTACTGAAAAACCCTTAGAATAGAATATTCTACTAAGTATTGATACGCTGAACAAGAATATCAACTTCATTTTCATAGCAAATCAATAGTTTTTGATTTTTTAAAAGAGGCTATTTGATTGTTCTTAATCGGGCTATAAAAACTGTGCCTTAGAACCGTGTAGATCTAGATCTAGAAATCTAGATTAGAAGTGCGCTTTGGACCAATCAGGGGGTTTCAGGGGAGCCTGCCCCCCTAGGGTAAAAAAATCTGGGGGGTTACAACCCCCCTGTTTTAACCCATAATTTTATATTTTACAGTTAAGTTTGAAATTTTCTTGAAAATAATTGATTACAGTTTTGGCAGCTTTACTTACTATGATTATGGGAGTGTATACAGACCCGGTAACCGGGAACAAAGTCACAAAGTATACAGACCCGGTAGGGGAACTTTTGTGATTTCGGAAAGTTTCAGCGCCCTCTTGGCTCAGGGTAGACCCAGGTTCTTCTAGATCTATGGCCTAGGTCTAGATCTAGCTAAACAGACAGACATAAATCATTGATCTAGTTTCGAGGCTAGCCTAGATCTAGATCTAAATGAAGATTGCGGACGTCTTTCCGATGAACGATCGTTTTTTTCTCCATTTTGGAGTTAGAGGAATCACTGTCACAATTTGAAGAAAAGAACAATGTCATAATTTCAATCGAGCTGTCACCCTCTCTATTTCTCTGCCTCCCCCTCTCTCTCTCTCTCTCTCTCTCTCTCTCTCTCTGTATCTCTCTGTCTCTCTCTCCCTCTCTCTCTCTGTCTCTCTATTTCTCTCTCTTCACCTATAACAGTCTCCGTGCATGTAAAATAACAGGCATTCTCAGATATTTTTGTTTTGTTTGGTTGTGTTTTTAAAGTGACCATTTTGCAGCACTTGAGATACAATAAGGTTATATTAGTGCTGAAGATTAGAGGCGTTACAAGAGGATAACAAACACCAAAAAGGAAGGAGGGTAAAAGGGGACGAGAGAAGTTTGATAATAAAGAAGGAGAAAAACAAAACAAAACTCCCCGCCAACCGCCCACATTCACAGTTTTGTGGTGGCCAAGAGGCTAAATAATCCGTACTTTAAGCTATCCTCAGAAACCAAGAAGATTCTTTTTTCTGTCAGCGTCGATGTGGGCTGTGTTCCACAACAGCGTCGTCATCAACTACGAAAAGAGAATTGACGACGACAACAAGGATAATAATAATGATAACAAAAACAACAACAACAACAACAAAAACAAAAAAGAAAAACAACGCAAAAAATATAGCAGCAGCAAAAGCAACAATGAATAATAATAA